GAGGGGGGAAAGAGGGGAAGACACCGGCTGTGGGGGACCAGGGCCGCTGGGCCAGCGCCTGCTGATGCTGGGATACAGTGCAGCAGGGGACAGGATCATTCGACCTCTTGCCCACCCACCCTAACTGCCCCCTCGCTTCTAACACTGGACGTCTGCTGGAGCCCTGGGGCGCTGGGGGACAAAGCCCAGGCTCAGTTTCCATTCACAAATGTACCCCCGCCTCCCGGGGCGTGGAAGGCTACCTCCCTCACCAGCTGGACCCCCTCCTGGGCCTCCCTGCGCTTTAGCCTTCTCTGGGGCTCTCAAGGCTGCCGTGTTTACACCCCGTGGGTGGGAATCAGGTTGGGCTCCTGCCCTGGGCAAGGGAAGTAGGGACCGTCCGGTTTGGGGAGGCCCCATCCCTGGTTCCCCCTGGTTCCTGCTCTTCCCAGGTGTCCCCAGGACTGTGTGTCATGTTCACAATAAAGAAAAGGTTTGCTGCTCCCCGCGTGGCGGCACCATAGTGGAGGTCCGCAGCCAGTAAATACCGTTTGTCCAGTGCTTACTAAGTGTCAGGCCTGGGTGAAAGGCTCAGTGGGCTTTGTGTCCCATAACCCCTGGGACACGGCCATGGGATGTACAGCAGGGAGATGCAGAGATGGCCCAGGGTGCAGGTCCAGTTCTGCTCCCCACTGACCGTGGGGGTCTGGGCAGGGGCACCCCTCTCGGCCCGAGTCTCCTCATCTGTCAGATGGGCACAGTGGTGGTCCCCACCTCAAAGGGAAGTTGTGAGGGCTTGATGACAGGATACAGGTCACGTGCGCAGAAGGGTGCCTGGCACAGCAGGGGCCGGGGTTGTTCCACTCTTGCTCTGGAGACCAGGAGACGAGGGTGCAGAGGACACAGTGCCTTCCAGGGGCCCCTCTGGCAGCACACAGCCACCCAGGGCTTCAAATCCCAGGCCTGGCACTTCACGGTGGTGGGGGGCGGTGGGGCGGACGCTGGGACAGGGGTCTATAGAGAGAAGCGGCTCTGGGAACGAGTCAGGGCTGTGGGGTCCTTGTTCTCCTAGTTTCAGCATATGAGGGGCACACTGGTCTGCCGAGGTGGCCCTGCAGAGGCCAGACAGGCAGCCAGTGAGCTGAATTCTACCTCCCGGGCCCTCCCTACTGTGCAGTGACTGGGCAACCCTCTCAGGAGAGTTTAAATTTTTTCTTTGTTAATTTTTAAAAAAAAATTATTTATTTAATCTATTTATTTTTGGCTGCGTTGGGTCTTCGTTGCTGCGCGTGGGCTTTTCTCTAGTTGCGGTGAGCGGGGACCACTCTTCGTTGTGATGCGCAGGCTTCTCATTGCGGTGGCTTCTCTTGTTGCAGAGCATGGACTCTAGGCCCGCGGGGTTCAGTAGTTGTGGCACGCAGGCTCAGTAGTTGTGGCTCACGGGCTCTAGAGCGCAGGCTCAGTAGTTGTGGTGCACGGGCTTAGTTGTTCCGCGGCATATGGGATCTTCCCGGACCAGGGCTCAAACCCGTGTCCCCTGCATTGGCAGGCGGATTCTTAACCACTGTGCCACCAGGGAAGCCCTATTAATTTTTTTAAAACATAAAAACAATTCATGGTCTTTGGGGACTTCCCTGGCAGTCCAGTGGTTAAGACTCCGTGCTCCTAATGCAGGGGGCACGGGTTCGATTCCTGGTCGGGGAACTAAGATCTCACAAGTTGCACGGCGTGGCCAAAAAAAAAAAAAAAAAAAAATTAATGGTTTTTGTATTAGCAAACATTCAAATAAGGTAGAAGCGACAAGCACTCTGTAGGCAGACAGTGTCATTTTGGGAGCAGTGGCCTCGGTTTCTGCAGGGCTGTCTGCCACCTGCTTGTTTTTGTTCCCATGGCGAGCATCTGTCCTTGTCACCGTGTCACGCTGGCGGGGTCTTCATGGCTGCAGAGTGCTTCTTTGGGAGGAAGGAGAGAAGCTGAGGCCTGAGGCCACACCAGTCTGTGGGTTGAGGAGCCGTGGAAGCTGCCTCCATGGGGCCAACAGGTGTTGAGGTCTCCTGAGTCACTGCTGTGTCCAGGATGCAGTTCCCCCTTCATTGATCAGCCTTTAAGTCCCAAGGCGCCTTTGCTCCAAGGACCTGCGTTGGCCTGTGGACCCCAGAGCCTCCCTCAGCAGGGCAGGAACTAGGCCAGGAACACCTCGGGGCTGCATCCCTGCCCCCCTCCCCACTTTGCCTGCTCTTCACAGACAGCCTTTTCCTTGTCACCCCCCCGGGATTACTTGGTGCTTTTCCAGCTGCTCAAGGAGGCCGACTCGCCTTTCTCTGTCTCAATCCCAAATTCCCCAAAGGGAGCATTTGATGTGACCTGCTTGGGATGAGGCGTCCACCTTCAGTCCATGGCACCGTGGCCTGGGGTGGGTCTCATGTCCCACAGCCCCACCCTGTGCTCCCTGCCCTTTCTGCTCCCTGCTAAATCCAGTGATCATGTCTTCCTCTTGAGGCCTGGTCTGGCTAAGGAGGCGCCAGGAGCAGGACAGACCCCAGCTACTCATCACCACCCCTCTCCTTGTTTTCACAGAGATGTTTTCTTCTGTCTTTGCATTTCTCAGAGGAGGATATGTTTGATGGCAGAGCCATGCGGGGGCTAGGGGCCTCACTCCTGACTGGGGCTTTATCCCTGGGGCTGCGGCAGGCAGAGAGGAGCCTGCCCACACCCTCCTCATCCACCTCCACTAAATGGTCACCTTGATGAAAAGGGCTGTGCTAACTAGACCCATTCCCTGTGACGGGCTGGAGAATGGCCAGTCAATGCAAGGCCACCACGGGGCACTGAGTCCTGCTTCTGTCGTGGAGTATTTCTCCCAGAGGTGACAACCTTGCCTCAGTTACCTTTTCCCATAACCAGCAGAGGGCGGTAGAGGATGCAAAAGCCCTGTAGGGGATGGAAACAAGACCTGGTGCTGCCATCTGTGGCTAATTCTGGGATCGCATCTTTGGGCCATCTTCATTTTCCAGGGACTCTATTTGCCCATCTGTAAAATGAGTTTAGCATGCAAAGTGCTGAAGATGGGTAGGTAGGAAAAGTCACACCTTTCAGGGGAAAAGGCCGTAAGCTAGGAACCCTTGCCCCATCTTGGTAATGCTTAGGTCATGGCTTGTGCCTGTGGGCATTGGTAGCAGCAGAAGGCCTGAGGTGGGAACTCTGCAATTGTTTGCTGTGACCTTGGGCAAGCCCCATCCTTGCCCATCCATGGGCAAGCTCTCGGAGGTCAGTTACCCTTCATGCGGTTGTTGAAATCAGGGATGGGAAGGTTGCACAAAGTTGATGTGCATTGTTGATGTGTGAGGGGTGTTTTTCTGCAGCCGGTGGGGTCTGCTGTCTCTTCTCAGAACACACTCCCTGCTGTTTCCTGCTGGGCTCCTGGAGTTCATGGCCAAGTGCTCCAGGAAGTAAGAAGGGAAGAGAGCTGTGAGAATGGTGAGATCCCTCCTCCCTGGGAGTCAGGGAGGGCTCCCTCAGGAGAGCAAGCCACAGCAAGGGCTTTAAGGATTAGGATTCTGCTTCACTATTTTTGTTAGATTATTAAATTTAAAATTTTCATTTTGATCATGCAAGTAATTGTTCATTGTGCATAAATAGTGCTTGTGGATAAGCAAAAAGATGATACCAATTATTCACAGATCCATCACTGAGATTTAAAAATTTAAATATCAAAAATTTAAAAAGTTTTGGGACTTCCCTGGCAGTCCAGTGGTTAAGACTCCGCGCTCTCAATGCAGGGGGCACAGGTTCGATCCCTGGTCGGGGAACTAAGATCCCACAAGCTGCATGGCGTAGCCAAAAAAAAAAAAATTTTTTTTTTTGGAGAATAGCCTTCTAGTTATTTTTTATGTAGTCTGCATATAGTGTGTATGTGTGTGTGTATATATATATATATATATATATACACACATACACACACATAAAATATATTTATATATATAATTTATATTTTATGTACAATATTTATACCTAACAGTTAAATGGGGCCTATTTTGTGGCAAGCACCATTTTAAGCACTTTACACTTATTACCTCATTTAATCCTTTCAACATCCCTATGAGGTAAGTACAAATATTCCCATTTTACAGATAAGGAAGCTGAGGCATCAGAACGGTTAAGTGAATTGCCTGGTGTCACACAGTAAATGGCACAGGCAGGATTTGAACCCAGATCTCCTGGCTCCAGAGTTGATGATCTTAATCACAATGTCGCATTACTTCTCTCTCTCTCTAGATACATATTTTTTGAAATAAAAATTCCGATCACACAGTAGCTCCTGAATCACATTCCAGATCAGTAACTGTTCTCCCTCACCATTTCTAATGACTGTTCCACAGTATGCCATGCTCCACTGGATGACTCTTCCCTAATTTTTTTAACCAGTCCAATGGGAAGGATGTGGACGGGCAGAAGTGTCTAATGGGGAACAGACCTGGTAGTGGGGGGATGGTGTGGTGTGGGTTGAATAATGGCCCCCAAATATATCCAGGTCCTAATCTCTGGAACCTGGGAATGTTACGTTATGTGGTAAAGACACTCTGTAGGTGTGATTAAATTAATGATTTTGAGATGGAGAGATTTTCCTGGATTATCCAGATAAGCCCTAAATGTAATCACAGTCTCTTTATAAGAGGGAGGCTGAGGGAGGTTTGACTAAAGAAGAGATGTGAGAACAGAAGTGAGAGGTTGGAATGATGCCAGGAAGAGGTTGAAAGCCAAGGAAAGCAGCCAGCCTCCAGAAGCCAGAAGAGGCAAGGAAATGAATTCTCCTTGAGAGCTTCTGGAAGGAACCAGCCCTGTGGGACACCTTGATTTCGGCTCAGTGAGATTGATTTTGGATTTCTGGCCTCTA